AAATATTTATTACCTTGGATACAGAGTTGACGAAGAAACCTTGGATAAAAACTCGACGAAGAAACTTGTAAGTGTTAATGTATGATGAAGCTTCCATGAACGTGAATTCGTGATCATAACGAAGAAACGTGTGAATGGAGATGGTTGATGGTTTTTTTTTTTTTTTTTTTTTTTTTTTTTTTTTTTTTTACCTTTTGTGTAAACAGATCTGTTTCATAATTTATCGGAAAAGGAATTATACCAAAAAAAAAATCGGAAAAGGAAAATATTTATTATAATATTGATATATTTAAGATGATAATGTCAAATATCCGAAAATTATTAATCGGAGCATTAATATAAACATAAAAGAATACTATTCTAACCTTACTCAAATTAATAAGATTTAGATATCCGAAATTAATCGTAAACGGCTATTAATTGTTAAACTAATTAAAATAAAGATCAAACGTACCGGAATAGATGAAATTTTTGGTATGATCGTCGTGTTCGTCGTCGTCGTTTCAATCTAAATATTTGGAAAAAAAAACGAACAAAAAAAATAATATGTAGAATAGATGAAATTTTTGGTATGATCGTCGTGTTCGTCGTCGTCGTTTCAATCTAAATATTTGGAAAAAAAAACAAACAAAAAAAATAATATGTAGATCAATGAAAGAGAACCCACCAATTTAGAAACGGTTATCACGCCATCGTATTGTTCGTCGGATGATTATAAGTCTCTAATCCGGAGATTGACTTGAACCCTGACAAAAACATATATTCATAGCATAAAATCGTAAATAGAAGGTAGAAGACCACCTATTAATCGGTTGTAACCTTGTGCAAACTCGATTTAATTTTGACGAATGAAATGTTGGTGTGGTGTCAAAACTTTCTTGGGGAGACTCGAAGATGAGAGAGCTGAAGTCAGAGATAGGCAGAGAGGTTTACATGTGAATTAAGGTATGGAGTGCTAACGTGAACATGAACGTGAACGGTGGTGATTTTTGCACATAATAGCAATTAGATCGAGTTTTGGAAAAAAATATGGATCAGCGTGACATGACGCATATGGATACCATGCATGTCTATCTTTTGTAAATCAAAAATTATATTATTGTTCCGCCTTATTTTTGAAACAGAAAGGAATTTTTCCTTAAATTTTAATATATTTTATAAGATAGTATCAGATATAGTAGTAAATCTAAAATAGTTGTTATTATTCTATATTTTTACCGAAAAAAGTAAATATTATTTTAAATAAACATGGATAACAATGAATAAATGGCAGTTTTACAAATATTTATTATTATGATAGTGATTTGCTTATTAAAATATGTAAATTTTCTTTTCTTTTTTTGTATTTATCGTCGAAAAATTTAGAAACTCTAAATCATGCACCGCCTCCTATTCAATATAAATACCTTGCTCATGGTATTCAATTTCAGATCATAACTAACCTTTGTTTTTTTGTTCTTTTTTTTCAAACTTTTTTTTGCTTCTACCTAATTTTAATTTTTCTTTTTATTGTAGGGTGGATGTATGGAGGGGACGATGTGAACTGGTGTATGGAAAATTTGGACCTAATTCAATGAATAAACAGGTGATCTTATAGTTTATATGTACAAATTTGATTTTTTTTTTTTTTTTTGTATTTATGGTTTCACTATTTTCACCACTAATCAATTTTTATAATCAAAAAGTTTGGTTTCAACTTTTGAGAAGGTAATCATCGATGGTTTGGTATGTTTCTTTTTGTTGTAAAAAGATGAGGTACCTCCCGATTTTGTTGAGGTACATGTTCTTATTATTTTCAAATATGTCTTTTCTCAGAAGAAACACTCAACTTTTGATAACACAGTTGTCACAAAGTCAGAAAGATGACTTATTTCAGGGATGAATCTTCAGAGGAGGCTAATTTTTGTCGTTAATACAATTTAAGTATTCCTCTCTTTAGATTAGGGATAACAAACTTGGCTGTTAAATTCAGGAATTACTCTTCGTTGCCAATCTCTCTCCCCAAACTAATATATTACATATATGGAAGTAGTAACTTAAAGTTTTTGGTATCGAGGTCATTCTAAGGCACTGAGATTCGGACTTTGGTATGTATAGGATTCGTTTTCCATGCACTAAGATTTAATTATTGTTTAATTTATTGGTTTTTAGGTTTCTTTCCATGCTCTGATGCGTTTTCGGGTGTGCCAATGGAAGCTTGCATCACTCTTTACTCCAAGCGTAAGTATGCTCTGCATTAGCTTCTTCTGTTCCATTGGTTATTATGGGTTTTGACTTTTGAGAAATATACAACAATTTAAAACCAGGTTTTGTTGTTGATTGGTTCGGTTTGTATACCATATTTTGCTAAATACATATGACCATAAATAAGACCAAAGGAGCTGGGTTAGCTCCTTTGCCAGCTAGGTTGACTTCGTCTCCTTTTTTTTGTTTGTTAATAGAGAGAACCCACCAATTTTGTAGCGTTGATTGTGACATCGAATTGTTTGTCGGATGAATATAAGTCTCTAATCCGGAGACTGAAGTTGAACCCTAACAAAAACATATATTCATAGCATAAAATTCATAAATAAAAGGTAGAACATCACATAGCTTTTTCTTCAAAGCCAACACATCTCTCTTTGTAGCCGAATTACTCTCCAGTTTGGTATATACTCAAATTTTCCAATGACTTCCTTCTCGAACCTGGAGCGTTTTTGCTTTGCCGGATATTTTTAGGATATGGCTCTTATGTATCTCTTGTGAGTCACTTGATATGTTGTTTAGGTAAAACTTTTGGTTTGAAAGAGAATGATCTACGACAAGCATAATCGGTTATTTGTTATATATGTGGCCATGTTCATATTGCTCTCTCCACAAGCAATTTTCCAGTTTTGTAGCATTCGATATTTAAATTTAAAAGCTTCAATACGTTGTATACATGTGTATGTATGTACATATATGAATTATTCTCAGTTGCACATAGTGGTTTCTAAGGGATAGATACTTGCTCTCTGTAATCCTCTCATTTTTAGTACCTATCTTCAGTGTTTACTTTGCTAAGAGCTTCTTGATAGGCATACATCTTTGCAATCTCAGATCAATATACTACAAATACATATACGATACAGTTAAGAAAATGATATTTCTCTTACAACTTTTTATATGGGTTTTATAAACAAGAGATCAACTGAAGGGTTACGCAGCGACCAATGGCGAAGGTAGAGACAAAGATACTACAATAGGGACGATAAATATGACACGATATATACAAAAGAGATGCCTGTTTCTATACCATTGAAATTTTACGTACATAACTACTTCAAAGAGCAAGATGACTTACTTGATAGGTAAGAGATATGGTAAGAGATTATATTTTTCAATTATTTGTTTCCAACTACGAAAAACTCCAGTGACATACAATCTAAAAGCATGAATATGTCATAAAATCAAGAATACAACAAAAACCAGGAAGATGGGCCCAAATTAAAGTCCGAAACTGGACGTGGGGAACCCACAGACAGTGGCGGTCGGAGCATTACAAATATGAAAGAAACGAGGAAGCGTGAATATGTCATAAAACCAAGAGTACTACAAAACCAAGAAGATGTGCTCAAAGAACGAAACTGGACGTGGGAACCCACAGACAGTGGCGGTCGTGGCATTACAAATATGAAAGAAACGAGTAAGCATGAATATGTCATAAAATCAAGAGTACGACAAAACAAAGAAGATGGGCCTAAAGACCGAAACTGGACGTGGGGAGCCCACGGACAGTGGCGGTCGGGGCGTTGCTAATATGAAAGAAACGAGTAAGCATGAATATGTCATAAAATCAAGAGTACGACAAAACAAAGAAGATGGGCCTAAAGACCGAGACTGGACGTGGGAACCCATGGACAGTGGCGGTCGGGGCGTTGCTAATCTATTGTTGGTTTAAATATATAGATTTTTTATATTTAATTCTATTATATATATCAAGATATAAACACTAATAATTGTTTGTGATTCAAAAACACTATTAATTGTTGATTACTAATAATATATATCAAAAGTTATAGCGTTTTACCATAATTCTATATTAATGTCGTTATAAAAATTAGACTCTTGACAAAATTAATTCAATAAATATCCCTAACTTGATAACCCTAAATATTAATTATTAATTCTGGTCTTAATCAACATACAACCCCGCGCTGGGCGCGGAGACCTCCCCTAGTATATCAAGATATAAACACTAATAATTGTTTGTGATTCAAAAACACTATTAATTGTTGATTACTAATAATATATATCAAAAGTTATATCGTTTTACCATAATTCTATATTAATGTCGTTATAAAAATTAGACTCTTGACAAAATTAATTCAATAAATATCCCTAACTTGATAACCCTAAATATTAATTATTAATTCTGGTCTTAATCAACATACAACCCCGCGCTGGGCGCGGGGACCTTCCCTAGTATATATATATATCAACAAGAAGTAAACATTCGAAAAAATCATTAAATTAAATCATATAGTAGTGTAATTAATAATTAAATCATGATATTTTCCTTCAATTAAATCCTATAGTATTACTATTTAAATATATCAACAAGATTCGAAAAAATCATTAAATTAAATCATATAGTAGCGTAATTAATAATTAAATCATGACATTTTCTTTAAATGAAATCATATTACTATTTATAAATATCAACAAGAATTAAACATTCGAAAAATCATTATATTAAATCATATAGTAGAGTAATTAATAATAAAATCATGACATTTTATATATATATATTGGGGATTAGTCAAACCGAGCCGGCTAAGCAGAATTACTAGCATACTCCATATGTCTAATATAAATTATGTAGTATTTTTTCTTAATGGTTAAATTTTTATAAATGGGAAACTTTTAAAAAAAAAAATTCTTGTGCATTTAGCCAAAACATCTAATAAAAGAGGACAAAGGGAGTATTTAATTAGAAATTAAAAGACATCACGAAAGCCAAACGTAACTCAAAACACTAATTCGTCTCCCACTTCTCAATAGGATAAAAGAAAGCTCTGATTTTTATGAGCAACAAAAAAATAGTTTAGGCAAAGCGCAATTACAGTTTAGTTTTTTTTTTGTTAAAACCAAAATGCTTTTAAAGGATTAAAATTAGTTAGGGAGTATAAAAAGTTGGACATTTACAGAAGTGAAATGAAGATTTACATGATTCTACATTTGCTATCTTTATCTTTTGGGGATTTGCCGTCGTGTCTTGAAGACGCTGCAGCTGATGATGGCCTGTGGCTGCTCCTTGGTACCTTCCAATGGTCAATACAATATCTGATCATTAACACTCATCGAAACACCAAAAGAAAGTAAAGCTACATTTTCAATGAGATTCTGATTACGGTATGATCATTGTCAATGTTTTATACTCGCAATTGGTACCTGCAAACTCACCTTTAGCAGGTAAAGCATATGGACAGAAAACAAATGTACTAAAGACTTGCAAATTTGCTTTTACGGTTCTCTTACCTTTTCTTATAATCATTGTTGTATAGTGTTTGCAATGTGCAAGTCAAACCGTAATTTACCTTTTTCTTATAATCATTATTTACCATTTGTGTTGCTTCCTGCTTTTCTAGAATATAGTGTTATGAGTAGGAATGAAATACCTGTGGACCAGTGACCAATCGTGAGGTAGCAACACTTGTTGGTTGTGGAGTTGGGTTACTACGTGGGCTCTGGTCCTCAAACTCTTGTTGTTGCAAAGCTATTGCTAGTTGTAGATCAGAGCTGCATAGTACCATGATGGGAATCAAACAATCATATTTACGTTTTAAAGAGCACAACTATAACAAATGCATAAAATGTGTTTCTAATGAGAGACAATTGGTTAGTGGTCAAAGAAAGGTATGAGATATTTACTTGACATCTATGTCTGTGTCCGCTACATTGTTGATGCTTGCAAGATAATCCTGTGAGGGAGAACCAAAAGAAAAAGAAAATGATTAAAATGGTAAAAGAAGATCTTATGTGGATTAGTGACTATGTTATCAAGAGATGACTATGTTATCAAGAGAACATACAGCAGTATTTGTGACTGCGTTTCGTTCATCCCATGTGCCACTTGCGCCACCTGTGCTACTGTCAATCTTGAAATCCTTGAAGGTAGCAGTCATGAATGCAGTGTCGCCATTAACCTGAAACCAGATTGCATGTCAATAGTGGATATAGTGGTATCTCCTTAGAGGCCAGAATTAGCAGATAAGACAAATAGTGAGTTAGTAACTTTGCTGATACCTCGTTTAGTTTTTCCCAAACCAAATCAGGCTGGTTCAGGTAACCTTGATCTGTAGCCAAAAGATAAAGTTCACCTTCATACTGAAAAAACGAAAACAACAACAAGTATTTAATCGGAATTAACCTTTTACAATTCAAAAGATTGAAATATCTACAAACTAAACAAACCTTGAACATGGTGCAGAAATGATTGTTGCGGAAAAAAACACAGAGTTCACGTTCTTTAAGGCCTTCTTGCAAGCGAAAGAGTCTGTAAGATATGATCAATAAATAAATGTAAGATCAAACACGAGCAGTCAATTAAAATATATGACTTCCCAACCATGAATAAGATCACGCACCCACAAAAGGTTAATTGACTTGCACTATTCTTCATAAAGTTCCTGATTAGTTCACCTGGAAAAACACAAGAACAATTAATTAGCAATTGCAAGAATATATGGAAACATGCGAATTAGAGCATAGAGAGCGTATCTAACCACAATGGCATGCATTTATGAGTTTCTGAAAAATGTATTTCAAGTATATCCCAAGTAGATCAGACACGGTATAATTTACCTTCTTCTGCTGTGAGCCCATCTGTAGCCCTTCCTTCAGAAGAACAATCACCCACATCCTTCTCAACCCTTTTACCCAGAAGTGACTCACCTTCATAAACAGGTTCTTTGTCTGCACAAACTGGAGCCACTGTGTTTACACATTCCTCACCTTCGTACATAGGTTCATCGGTAGGTACAGGTGAGGTAAACGCATTGGGCACATTGTCATGCTGGGATCTGCAACTAAAATCTGGAGATGCAATGGTCATCTGAGTAAGAATTTTCATCTCAAGATCTTCAGATGCAATGTTAGCCATGACAATAATATAAGATGCAGGAGTAGTTTAATTATGTAAAGAGACATCTATAAGGTTACACCATCTATGGAAGAGCAAAAAACTACCTGGATCAACAGAAGCTGCATCAGACTTGAGTAGACTCTCAGAACTGCTTTCAATTTTCGCTGACTCCAGATTAGCCTTATCCACAAAGAGCGCCTCAGAAGAAGTTACATCGACAATGGCCTTTTTACTGCTACTCGCGTTCTCAACATCACAGGCCGTTTCAACTCCAGTTTGCTTCGAAGATAATTGATCATGGTTGAGATCCTCACTTTTAATTGTAATCGGTGTCTGAAATTCCCCAACTTTGATCACATTGCCATCATTTTCTGATGCTTTATCATCATCAGATTTAAACTGGTCTAGCTGACTGATATTAGTACCATGGGTGCTAGTTGGACTTGCATCTGAAAATGTGAACGCAGAGTCTTGATTGGTTGAGTCTCCGTGAGTGTTTGGAGTTGAATCATTCCCCTGCCCCTGTGATAACTGCAAGGCTTGCAACAACTCTGTTTCTTCTTCAAGATCCCCCTTTCTCATTCTGCGAAGCTCTGCAGCCGCAGGTGGAGAATCATCAAAAGATCTTGTTTTCGAAAGACAAGGTGAAGGAACCCCTAAAGCTGCAGTAGTTGCCGCAGCAAAATCAACAGAATCTTCTCCGGGATTTTGATCACCTTGAGCCTCTACATTCTGCGTCTCCAGGGCAACTAGCTCACCCATTAGAGCATTATACGACTTGCTTCCAATTGCATTAGCTGCTTCAACATCCTGTAGGTATGCACAGGGGAAGCAATTGAATCATTTCTTTTACTACAGACACAGGATTGATAAAGAAACCATCTTAAAAGGAGTGCTCTTGATCACTGTTCCAATCCATAACAAGCCAAACAATGGATAAAAAGAATATAGTAACCTCTGTTTTGTTTGTCAACTCTCAAGAAGATAAAGAAGAGAATATGACCCCACATCCCAAACATTCACACACAAAAGACAAGAACGAAATGAAAAACGTCAACAGCCTATACTAAAGAATTTTGAATATTTACGCGTTGACGAAGCCATTCAGATAAAGTATGAAACCAAGTGATATACCTGAGGATCAACTATCCATCCATGATATAAGGGAATGTCAAGTAAATCAAATATTGCACACTCAGGGGTGAACTCAAAATCATCAATCCTGCAACGAGGTAAAGACTCATGGTTATTAACTTATGAATTTCTACATAGTAGAAGCAGAAACAGATCACAAAGTATTAACCTCCTGAATTTAATATTGACATCAATTCCAGTAGTAAGTCGTGGAAGAAGATCAATTGCATCAGCAATGTTCTGTTGCTGATTCTCAATATATCCTTCATCTTTGTTCTGCCATTGAGAAATACAAAAAATAAAGTTCACCCCCATAGACTCAACCCATAAGATAATATAAAGAACATGCAAGATAAGAAGCCAGCTTATTACATTGACTTTACTATTGGAATCAATCAGTCTGTCGACCACGAGAGACATCAATCTCTCTTGAGAAACCTCATAACAGTCAGGATTTAGTTTCAAGTTGTTTCTCAAGAGAAGAACATTACCTGTTGCATCCAACAATCAATAACAACATTTTATAAGTAGAGTACTCAGAAAAATTTCTGTCCCTACCAACAAAATCTGATGATTGGTACATTAAGCAGCATCAAATCAATGATTGAAGAAAACACCTAGTAATAACATTGATTACATTGTACGGAACAAGCAAACCTAACACCGATTCTTCAATTTCTTTTCCAAATTCCACAAAATCAGTAACGCAAACCTAATGAATCAATGATCATAACACCGAAATTCCACATTCCAAATCCTATTTTACGATCTAAACGAAGTTTGAATCAACCCTAAGATGAACGAAAATGGAGAAATAGAAACATACAAATGGCTAATAAAGGACAAGGTCCATTTTCGTTCTGGAGAATGATAGGTGTGGTTCGTCCAAGGAACTGAATCGATTTCGTCTTATACAAAATCTCCTCTTCCTCCGTAGTATTAGTAGTTTCCTTTGGCAACAAATCTTGCTGCTGCATCGCTTCTTGATTCGTATGCGTTTCTTCGTTAGGAGATTCTGAAGATGAAGCGGTCGCCATTGACGATGATGATCTCAACCAAAGCTAATAAAAATCAAATTCGAAAAAGTCAAATTTCGATCGAAGAAGAAGAAGAAGAAGAAGAAGAGAGACAGATTATTGGAAATTCCGAAGAAATTTTTTTTTTTTTTCTGATCCAAATCGAAAGAGGAAGCGAGCGAGAGAGCAAAGAGGATTTAATTTATATTTCGAGAAAGAACTTTAAGGAATCGCATAACCAAACCGGTACGTACCAAATCTAAATAACTTTATGGTCTAATTGCTATTGAACCAATTGTTGTAACGATCAAATTTGTTCCGGTATTTGATGTATGAGGAAGAATTATGGTTTGATCATTACGGTTTGGATAAACCAATTTGGTATATTTAGTGCGTATCTTCTCGGGGTAAGGGTCAATTTAAGATACTAATAAAAGTCTTAATTTCTTATCATCAGACCGTCATTTCCTAATAAGTCATCTTTTAATAGTTTCTTTATTTCTAATTAATTTATTTTAGAGAAAATTACAAAAAAAACCCCATAATAATTTTTATTTGAACGTATATTATCCAATATTTTTAGATTAAAATAAAAATATGCCATTTGATTATTTGTAGTCATAAAATATTTTGTATATAAATTATTGGTGAAATCGAACCTGCAATTTAATAGCCGTTAAAAGACATAATAGAATCATTTGGCGGTGTTAAATTTGAATCTCCCATATTTTAATCTATATATATATACAACTATTTTAATACTCCCTCTGTTTTTGAAAAGTTGTCGTTTTAACTGTATTTAGACAAATTAAGATAAAGTATACAATGACTATATTAACTTCATAAAAATGACAAGTAATTATTTACAAATAATTTGTGTTTAATTAAATGAGGGTAATTTGGGTAGTTATTGGCATAAGTTACATTATTACCTTAAAACGACAACTAATTTAAAACAAAAAAAATGCTCTAAAACGACAACTATTCGAAAACGGAGGGAGTACTATTTATTATAAAATTGGTGTGGTCTAATGGTAACATGTGGGGTTGAATACAATCTGAACCTGAGAGAGTCTCTTCGGAAGTAATATTTTTTTTCATTTTCGGTTCACGGTTTTCTGTTAACCGGATTGAATCGGAATTCAAACTGGTGATCTTCTTCGTCGCCATTAACGTCAACAAATCGAGCAACCGTCGCTGCAACTTCTGACCATGCTTCTTCTCCTCCGCCGATTCAACCGCTGCGGCAACCATCGTTCTCTTTGATTCACACCTGAACCAATCCATGGATCACTGCAACTTTCGATTCTCATCTCATACAAAGTTATAGACGAAGAAGAAGACTAAAGCGGCGAAGAAGGCTGAGACGGCGCTAGGATTTAATGTGAAGGGGTTAGGGTTTAAAAAAAAAAAAAAAAAAACAATTTCATTTTCTTGGTCGAACTTGGGTTTAAAAGGCAGTTCATTCCTTATTGTTACCACTATACCACGACAATCCATTCGTGAAATGATTGTATATATAGATTAAAATATGGGGATTCAAATTTAACACCATCACATAATTCTGTTACGCCTGTTAACAGCCGTTAAGTTGCAGATTCGATTCTGTCAATAATTTATATAATAATATATGAGATATTTTATGATTACAAATAATTATTTTTAGATCTAAAGGATTCAAATACATTAAAAAAAATCTGGAAATAGGATTCGCCGATCTAAGAAAATCCATGAAAGTGGAGATAGGTTAGGTTTGTTGGAACTTATTTTTGACAAAAATGGTTTTGACCATTGTTACGTTGGATTTCCCGGTGAAAACGTTTACCGGAATGACCGGTTCTTGGGCACGATGAAATCGTTGCTGCGAGCACTACGTGGTGGTGTATTGGAATGTCAAAAACGGAATTCGTTTGAATGAGAAATGGAGGTCCAAAGTGGTTAGCTTGCTAAGCTTGAGATTTTAACTAAATGTTAATTGGACCACTTTGGAGGTTAAAGGAGAAACCCAAACACATATGGGTTGAATTTGGGATTTGAGATTAATAATATGGGCTTGTAACCCATTAGTTTATTCTTGTTTGCCCTAATCCATATTGAATTATGTTGTTGACTAATTCAAAGAAATATCTCCTTGATTGATTTTGTAACAACCTAATTAAGTCTTGTGAATCAAGGTTGGAATCAATTTACGACATTGACGTTAGAGAATCAATTCTCATAACTCTCGTATCCTCCTCTTTATGGTATAGACGTTGAGCTTTTACTATAAGGTCAAGCCTTTGTCTTCTCATTCTGATTATTGATCAAAGCATAAAAATCCATCTCTTCTCTCTTCTTCTTTTTGTTTGTGTCTAAGAGTACAACACAAGACTAGTGTTCGATTAGCTTTTGATTTGAGTGTTGCAATCAAAAAGAGAAACAATTTATCCTAGGACTCTAATTGTCATCAAACCGGCAAAATACGGGGCGATTTTTAAGTTAAGGAGAGATATCATCAAAGTGTTTGACTCTGGTTACCACCGTCAATCTCTGTTCTTCAATCATCCTTTCGGTATTGTTGATTTTTGATACTTGTTCTATGTTATTTGTTTTACAAATATTAGATTGTGCCCCTGTTGAAATATTCAGGTTTTACAAGGTTTCATAAGTACAACTTCTGAATAAAGGTTAAGCTATGACGAAGAGAGCGAGTGAAGCTAGAAGATGAACATAGAGAGATTACGGGAGAGAAGGAAGGAGAATTGGTATGTTAGGGTGAAGAAGAATGTTGGGTTGGGTGGGTTTGCTTGGGTTGGGTTCAATTAGTTGTAATTGGGTTAGAATTGGTTTAGATTAGGTTTAATCCGGTTTAGTATTTTTTGTTAGTTTGGTAAGCAAACAGTAAACCGAATAAAACCAATGTTTGTGTATAAATTAGACGAAAGCTTTTATTCTAGGGAGAAATAGGATTCAACTATGAATTTTTGGGGAAATGAGTTGAGAAATACATTTTCGGGAACATCTAACACATGGTCATAGATTGGATTCTATCTGATATGATGTAATACTTCTCGTGGAGAATAGACCATTTTCCCATTTGATGATCTAGAAAGAAATTATAAAATTGGTGGGCCGATTTCAATGTTTAGCGATTAGGAAGTTTAAAACGTAAAAAAAAATACAAAAAAGTGCCTCCACGTCTTAAAAAATGGTGTGTTTTACACTTTGATTGTATTTTCTTCTAGTATTTATTTCACCTTAATATATAAGCATAATTTATAAAAAAAAAATTGAAAATGTAACCATAATTTTATAATTGAGTTTTAATATCTTTTAAAAGGAATAATAGTGTATAAATTATGTTTTATAAAATATATCACGTTAATGACTAATTTTGAGAAACCATCAAAGTGTTGGTAACATAACATAACCATCAATCTCAATTCACAAGGGAGATAAATTATGAAGCATCAGAATAACCTCATTCTATTTCACAACTCTTGTACAAGCATGTCAATGTGTTGGTATTTTTAATGTTGATTATGGGACTGTTCGTTTAGCAGTCACAGAATGCCTCATTTATTGATGGGTTATGGTAACTTCATAAACGAGGAGTTAATATTTCGCCGCCCAAGAGATTTTCGAAAGATCAATTCCCTCCTTTATTGATGGGGTTAGACTTGCTCAAAGAAAGATTGTTTTTTTCATTGTTGAAGAGAAAAAATGTAGCCATTGTTAACTTTGAAAACAAAATCAAGGTTATATAACTTGCTTCTTGTATATCAGAGCACACGGCTCATCATCACTGCGAGCAGATTCTTTCTAGAACCATCATCCGTATGGCCCAAAATTTTGTTGGCAACAACAATGTGAACATGCTCCGACCTATTGGTGTATTTGGTTTGAAAGCTTCGGTACGTATTAGCAACTGTTTTCATTTATTCATGCTCGTACATAACGTGTTCAGAGCAACTGTTGTTATCAATGCTCTATTCACTGTTCTTAATTATATATGCTCTATTCACCGTGATATTAAGGTGGTAAAAAGACGTGGACACAAGATATATTCACACAATGCTCTCTTCAATAACTAGATTACTTATTCACAAGGATGATGATGACATTCTAATTTACCATAATGTATTCAGGAAAAAAGAGACATCCAGTATGGTAATTTTTTTTCCCATATTTCAATGGAATATATAATTTTCAATTTTGAATAAACAAAAATCAGATCTAGAAGTACATAAATCAGATGAATGTCCTTGCTATATGTAAATTCGACATGAAGTTCATATATGCCTATGTTGGTGTACCCGGAAGAGCACATGATACAAAGGTATTAACTCACTGTGCGAGAAATGAAGCTTATTTTCCACATCCGCCAAATAGAAAGTACTACTTAGTTTACTCCGGATATCCTACTAGGACATGATATTTTGGTCCACATCCACAACAAGAAATATGCACATTGTTAGCACGAAAAATCTGCTATCATACATATTCCATAGCGAATTCACAAATGCTATGACATCGGCAGCTATGATAGGTATCACACATACGATAGCGTTTTCGGACATGCTATTATAAGTTGTTTAATTATAGCAATAATAGAGTGCTCTAATATACTATATTATAACACACTTTTAATGCTATTTTATATTGTATTACAGCATTTTTATATTTTCTATATAAATTTAATTGGATTTATATATAATTATTATATTTGTATCATGTTTTGCAAAATAAATTTAATTCGATTTATAAAATAAATTTTATATTTCATAAATAATCAAACATACATAACCATATTATTACATTAGCCATTTTTACATAACAATATCATACAAGTTTTAAGCAAAAATAAAGCTAACATTACGAAGACAAACTTCAATCTCATTTTCTCTATGTCTTTCGCCTTCCCGTTACCATTCTCGTGCATAATCCTTGTAAGCATGTGTTAGACAAATTAAAAAGAATTTGCAAATGCAAGAGTCTCAATCAATGAAACATAACCATGGAAACTAGATAAACACAATCTCGTCAAACACTTAACAAAACTCCAAGAATGTGTTATAGAGGGCACAAAGCAATCACAAGAAAACCACTTACTGAACTCCACTGGACTTGTGAACAACTTCACTACGTCTATTGACCAACCGCTTGCCTGTACATAAGAAATAAAAATTTTATTATAGAATTGTTTGAGCTAGCTCCACCATTACGACAAAAAAGGAACTTGGATAAGCAAATGAGAGCAACGTGAAAAGAAATTCCTGAACCATGATCAGATTCTTTGCGACCTTTCTGCAAAAGCTTTGTACTTAAAATATTGTGTTAGTATTCAAAAATCTGTTCACCAGATCAACCATGTAGAAGCACTAACATTAGTGGTAAACTTAGAAGATCCAACAATAAGAATTATTATTCACAGTTAACAAATAGAGGAAATCTTAATAGATTAAACATGAGTGCTAATAGAGGAAACCATGTTTTACATTAACATTAGGGAAAGCTTGAGAAAAATAGAAAAGTAACGACTAAATCACAAAAACTCACCTCTTTACAATCTCTGAAACTTTGTCACCCAATTTTCTTGGATCATCAAACCACATCTCACTGACCCAACCCAAAACTGGGGTCACCATGAAGCTGAGGCAAATACAACTCAAACTATACACAATAAAAACAATGACCCTAAAAAGAATAGAAAATAATTGTAATCGAAGAGATAGAGAAATCAAAAGAAGTACGCACGGTCAAGTTTAAGAGACTTGGAAGGAATAGAAATGTCGTGCATAACTTTGATTCTTCAAGCTTCTTGGCGTTTCCAGTCACAAACGTCACCGCCGTGGCAAATCCACCGCTAAAGAACCTAAAGCTCAAAACTTCACACAAGTTCAAGAGTTGTTATCCACACCTAAATGCAATGTACAAAGTTTCAAAGTCTTCCTCAAAAGAATAATTCTCTAAAGAACTAAAGCTCCAAACTCAAATAAACTGAGAAGAATGGTTCATAGTTGCTATCAAGGTTCCACAATCTTCATTGTTATAGATATGGCAGCTTTGAAACCAGATCTTTGTGCTTTTCTCACTTTTTCCTCAAAACTACAGCCTCATCTTACAATCAACACAAAAGGGGAAGTTTCATTTGAGCTATGTTCTTCTGGTGTATTCAAAAGATTCTGACAAGCATCAAGAGGCCCAGCCACATAAACTCTTTCAAACTCACATGTACCCTTCACTGACGGAGCTGCAAAATTAACCAATTTAGCAATAAACATGATTAAAAATCTCTTCTTTTTCTGCGTTGACCCAAATTACAGATTCAAAAAGCCTCTAATTTGAATCGACAAGATAGGAGGTAAGAGCAACACCAAGTTAACTTTCTTTTATTCTAAAGACGAAGGAGATCTAAATTTTGAAGAACCTATATGATGCAAAGAAGAGAAGAGAGCATGATTGTAAACCAAAACTGAAAACTTATACCAAAAACCGAAACCAAAATTGAAAACTCAAGACTTTTTCGACTTCAATCTCTCTAAAAATCTTCAATAAAAAACGGATAAAGTTAAAAGCTTCATCTTTAGATGGCTTCGGATCTAAACTGATTTGAAGTCCGACAACATCTCTAAAGCAATCTCTCTCTCTCTCTTCTCTGTGGTGGAACAAGATGAGTTAGGGTTTGGTGAGCTAGAGGTCGGAATGAGACCAACGTCGAACGACACCAAGTTCAGAAGGAAACCGTAGAGATTGTGGCTGGCGATGGAATTCACGGTGGAGATAGCGAGATTGTGGCGAGAGTTCACCTCTTGTGCCACTAATCGAGAAATGTTAACCTCTTATGCCACTTTTATGTTTTGTTTTTATTTTTGAATTTCTTTTAATTCGTAAAATTGAGTAAAAGACACAAAAACCAAACCAAATTCTAAAAACTACGACCCAACCTTAATAATCCGACCCAAGCCCATAAAAAATAATCCGACCCATAAAAAATCTCCAAATTTTACCCTAAATTTGAAAAACACAAAAATAATCTAAGTGTAAATCGAGAAACTGTAAATCGGAAGAAGAAGAGTCGCTTCTCTTCGTCGCTTCTCATCGGAATCGCTTCAGACCGTCCGTTTTACTTTAACACTATAAAGTCAAAGTAATTACGTGTTGACTAAATGTTTTCTTTCCTCTATTTGAGCCATACACCGTTGACCACTTCAATGGCTTCGCGCTCGTCTTCTTCTTCTTCTTCACCACACAAAGCCACAATCTTTTAAATTTCCTCTTCCCTTTCTTTCACCATCATCTCTCTCTCGGATCCATGGCCTATAACAATTTCACCCGCCTCGATGCTCAATCCGCCGCCGAGAAAGCCGTCTCAGTGATCGAATTAGGTTACGATCTCTGCTCTGATGTTCGTTTCTCCGCTTGTAAAACTACACTAGACGGTTCCAGGTTAGTCGAAATCGACCCGACCCGGAACCGTGACTTAGTCTTCCCCGGTGGGATCGTCGTTAACAACGTCTCGAGCTCTATTAAGTGCGATAAAGTTGAACGTACTCGATTACGCTCCGATATACTCTCTTTTAATCAGGTTTAGTAAAATCTAATCATCACTGGTTCGTGTTCCTGTTTGTAGAAACCCTAATTTTGAGTTTGATTTTTGTGTAGATGTCGGAGAAGTTTAATCAAGATATGTGTCTCTCCGGGAAGATTCCGCCGGGGATGTTTAATAATATGTTTGCGTTTAGTAAATGTTGGCCTAAAGATGCGAGCTCTGTGAAGAATTTAGCTTATGATGGTTGGTTCATTAGCTTGTATATACGTGTTGAGATTGTTAGGAAGCAATTGACTCTACGTGATGAAGTGAAACGTGAGGTTCCTTCTTCTTGGGACTCTGCTTCACTTGCTGGGTATGATTTGATGATGATGATCACTGAGATTTTTGATAAGTGTGATTTGGAGCTTATGATTGATTTTTGTTTTTATAGGTTTATTGAGAAATATGGTACTCATGTAGTTGTTGGAGTGAGTACTAAATTTTAAATTTAGTTGATCTAGGGACAACTACTAATAATCCAGGGACAACTATGTGATAAACTAAGGACAACTACTAATAATACAGGGACAACTATATGATAAACCAAGGACAACTACATATAAGTCGAAGTTGTACCGGTTGAACCAAGTACAACTACCATTACGGCATGTACAAATACTAATAAGTCTTCATGAAAACACAAATCCATATTCCAAAAACACAAATCCATATCCAAAATACAAATTCAAATATTACAAAGACTAGGTGGTAATCATACAATATTACCACCTTGAAAGTAACCCCTTAAGCCTCGCAATCTCGACTTCTTTTGTGGCTAACCTCTCTTTAAGGTCATCAATTTCTTCACGCATAAGACGAAGAGTTTCTCGGATCGACTCCAAAGCAGGATTTCCACCCCTCGCATATTCAAAAGAGGTTAAAACGGCGAGATAACCCAGATTTTGAGCAATTAACCCAGATCAAACTTAAAGCAATTAAACCTTAAATTTTACAAATTCCAAATTAATAGAAAGTAGATCTATTCAATTGAAGAAGTCTAAGAGAAGAGAATTGCCATACCTTATAACGGCGAGATAACCCAGATTTTGCAAAATTTGAAGAAATCTGAAAACCCTAATTTTTGGGTTTTTCGTTTTCAAAGGAAGAAGAAGAAGAAGAAGAGAGAAGACGAAAAAGAGAAAGAAGAAGTGAGAAGCGACATGTGAGAGAATTACCCAGATTTTTGCAAAATTTGAAGAAATCTGAAAATCCTAATTTTTGGGTTTCTCATTTTCAAAGGAAGAAGAAGAGAGAAGACGAAGAGAAGAGAGAAGACGAAGAAAAGAAAGAAGAAGAGAAACCCTTGAGTCAAAAGCTAGTCAAAGACTAGTGTGAACACATTTATGTGGGATCTTTGACAATTAGATTTTCTTCATAGTTGTCTTTAGATGTTCAGTTGTCCTGATTTGCTCACAGTTGAACTATTTCAAATTTTGTAATTTTGTAGTTGAACCTTAAAAACAACCATAATTTTCTAGTTGTTCCCATCAATTTCCAAATTAAATTGGTTTTTAAGAAGCATTTATAGAATAATTTGTAAGACAACATAGTTTCCATACTTATTCCATCTTTATAGATGATTTTGAACTAAATGTTGCTTGTTACCTAATGAGTGATTTGTGTAAAACAAGTTTATGTAAACATTAATTATTGATAATGTTAAATATCATATATTAAAAATATTAAATGTACTTTCAGAGTTTTAAAATGTTTTAAATCACTTATTATGGTTTAATTTATGAAATTTTATATTTTTGTAGTATTAGTTGTTCCCAGTTGTACCGACTGAACCCAGAAACCAATCTTACTCATATTGCAAAGTATAAAAATAGTTTATATTTCAAACTAGTCTTACAAACAATAATCCATATATTACAAAGTAATATTAGTCTTACAAATAAAAATACAAAGTTGTTTAAGTTGTTCCGGTTGAACCCAAATGGTTACACAGTTGTTCCGGTTGAATCCAAATGGTTCAGTTGTTCTAGTTGAACCCAAGTGGTAAAACAGTTGTACCGGTTGAATCAGAGAATTAATCAAGTTGCTTCTGGATCCTCGGGCTCCAGCCATCTCTCCAAGTTAATTCCTGGAACAGCTTTGTTACTCATTCTCCGTTTTCCACCCTCTGGTTATTGTCACTTAATACCTCCACATGAAAAAATGGAATACGACCCTCTTCATCACATTCTGTTAAGAAAATGTATATGTCCTCATCATCTACAATATATGTCTCTCTCCGAGCTTTAGATAGATTGTAACTCAGTTTCAGATTTTCCAGGGACTCCATTCTGAGCAACCTTCGTAGTGATCTTATCTAATAGCACCGAATAATTTATCTTCTCTAAACATGCCGTCTTAAACGATATAGCGTATAGTGAATTTTTAAAAATCCACTCATTCCCTTCTGAATAGTACCCTCCATAGTCAAAATGTACGTTAGTCTGGCTCTTCTTCTTCATCGCCTCCTGAAATTACAACAATTTAAAACATAATTACCACTGGTACAGTTATACTAGTTGTACCAGTTAGCCTACAGTCTATTATTTGTACCAGTTGGCCTATACTCTAACAGTTGTACCAATTGACTATGGAGGGTACTATCCTGAAAATACAACATTTAATAACAGCACAAATCTACACCATTTTTCACAGTTATACTAGTTGTACCAGTTGGCCTACATACTATCCGTTGTACCAGTTGGCCTACATACTATCAGTTGTACCAATTGACTATGGAGGGTACTATCTTGAAAATACAATAATTAAAAACAGCACATACACCATTTGTCACTGTTATACTAGTTGCAGTTGTCCTACAGACTATCAGTTGTACCAGTTGGCCTATAGTCTATCAGTTGTACCAGTTGAATAATTAAACATAGTTGTACCGTTGGCCTATCAGTTATACTAGTTGGCCTACAGACTATCAGTTGTACCAGTTGGCCTATAGTTTATCAGTTGTACCAGTTGAATAATTAAACTTATTTGTACCAGTTGAATAACTTTCTGTTAGTTATACCAGTTGACTGAGATCTGACTCGATTCTACATAAGATGTGACTCGATTCAACAATGGACGAGCTACATTCGTTTAATAACCAATGCAAATACCTCAATTCGCCAATATTCATTCGATTCTCTCGATTAATCCAAAATAAACCCAATTCTCTTTCAAATCCCTAATTTTAAAGAATTCCAAAATACTCATAAATTACCTAAAAATCTATCAATGCAGCGATGTCAAGAGGATACATGAGAAAAAACTAACCGATTTCGAGAAGGAGGAGGCGTCTGTTAAGCCGTATTTGCAGATCAGCGGTGGAGGAAGAAGACACTCGGGGTCGGAGAGAGAGAGAGAGGAGAGAGAGAGGGGAGAGAGAGGGGAGAGAGAGGGGAGAGAGAGAAGCACGATGATCTGCGTTTTTTTTTTTTTTTTTTCTTTTTTTTCTCTCTTCATCCATTAAGGGTAGTTTAGGTATTTCATATTTTTGGTGGCATGCAGATTTTTGAGTGGCATGCCAGATCATTTTTTCCCAAAAAGTGGCATAAGTGACAAAATTTCGATTGTGGCCGGCAACGGATTCATTGTGGAGACTATGGCCTACGGAGAGAAAAAGAGAAAAAGAGAAAAATTAGGTTTCGAGTGGGTTTTGTGATTTTGGCTAAGTGAAGGAGGTAAAAAGTATAATATTTGGCTGAATTTTTGGCGGTCATAAAAATTTTAGATTTTTATTCTAATTTTTTGACTAGGTGATTGAGCGGTTAGTGTAAAATTTGTGATTTTAACGTTTCGCTTTGCTATTATAGGGATTAGCGTTTATAGAATGCTATGATATAGTTACAAAATCTGAAATACTATCTTTCATAACATTTGTGAAATTCGTGTTATCCCATTATGCTATCAATGTACATTTTTTTTGTAGTGATCGCAGGGTTCAATATCATCTAGATCAGTTTAATAGGGGAGGACCGCCTACAAACACGCGAGAGTTGTTTAACCGAAGAAATTCAGGTTTGCGGATAGTGATCGAGCGGACATTTGGAGTATGGAAAGCAAAGTGGAGAATTTCAGATCGTAAGCATCCAAAATATGGTTTGACTAAGTAGATAAAGGTTGTAACAACAACGATGGCACTATACAACTTCATACGCGATTCACATCGAGATGATTCTGATTTTGTGCACTGGCAGAGAGCAGAAGAATATCATATATACTCATGATGATGATGATGATGATGATGATGATGATGATGGCAGTGGTGGTGCTGGGATAATTGTGATGATTGTTGAACCCGAACCCCTCCCAGGGTTGGTAACATCATTGTTGAAGATGGGACAAAGCTCTCATTAGACAAGCACAAAGATGGGTTGAATAGATCGTATAAGTTTGTGGAGAAAATAATATAGATTTTGTTATAGCTGGACTCGAGAGACGAGCTGCCTATGTACCCGAAGTGGGATCAAGCCAAAACGTAGTTCGATTACAACGAAGAGAATGTATTTCGTCATTATTAGGAATGACGTTGTTTGTGTCTAAATCATGGTGAGAAATGTAGAGGATGAATCTTGTGTAGAAGAATATGAGTCCCCTTCTTGGAGTCTTCACTTCTCTTTTTTAGCCTTTTCCTTCCTTCTAGGATGTCTTTACTTGGCCATTAATTTCAGAATTAACTCCACAAAATAACTCCAATTTTGGCAATTAACTCCTAAACTTGAATGACAAGTTTACTCCTTTGACCATGACCATTAATTCATGAATTAAACTACAAATTAATGTCAAAGTTTGACCACCCCCTTTTGCAAGATAGGGCTCCTTGGATTTTGTAAATTGATGGTTCTCCAACATGTAAAATGGACCCCTTGCGGGATCCGGTACCAACATTAGCCCCCCAGTTCTTCGAGTAAGATGATTTGCTCAGAGAACTAATATTCTTGACAATCCTGCGGCAATAACTTTGATTAGTAGATTAGGCATGCAAACTTTGTTGTTAGATGCGAGGTGAACTCGTTTTTGTCTAAAGACTTATTCGCGTAAATGCGAGCATTGAGCTCGGCTTTTTGAACATAGATTAGCGTGAGACGGGCTCAGCTTTTTTTTAAATGTAGTTTGGTGCGAGATGAGATCTCGGCTTTATATGCGAGATGAGATCTCGGCTTAGATGCGAGATGAGATCTCGGCTTTATATGCGAGATGAGATCTCGGCTTAGATGCGAGATGAGATCTCGGTTTTATATGCGAGATGAGATCTCGGCTTAGATGCGAGATGAGATCTCGGTTTTATATGCGAGATGAGATCTCGGCTTAGATGCGAGATGAGATCTCGGCTTTATATGCGAGATGAGATCTCGGCTTAGATGCGAGATGAGATCTCGGTTTTATATGCGAGATGAGATCTCGGCTTAGATGCGAGATGAGATCTCGGTTTTATATGCGAGATGAGATCTCG